ATTTTCAATAATGAAAAATGTAATATATTCTACATTTCACTTTATTATTAATATACATTTTACTCAAAATTTCATTTTGAAAAAAAACAAAAAAAACCGTTTTTTTTTCTAGGTTTTTTTTCATGTTTTTTTTCACATCTGAAAAAATACCGTTTTTTTACATCTCTACTTATAACATATTCGATCTTTAATATATGTAGGTACTATCTGTTTATACAAATAATTGCCAAGTAGGTGATATGTTTGTTTATTGATAAGGAAGTCAAAAATTATTAAATAATCTGTAATTTATAATAAAATAAACGTTAAGGTAGTTGTCGTGGTACAATATTGTCAAAAATTTTTAGATTATACGCACCGTAAAAGTATACGAGCTGGTAGCTAAGTGATTCATAATTTGTTCGCAAGACTGTACCCTGGAGACGTTATTTTTACGTAATACTTTCAAATATTTTCATAAGTTTTAATCCGGCAACGTCGCTTATGCTCAACCAATAGATATATTGGAGACTGAATCAGACGTTTGAATTTACTGCGGAAATTATATCTATACTCGCGTACAGCCTTGCCAAGTTGTTTTTATCTGACACTAGTGATGTATACTTTTTACAAATTGTTGAACTTTAAACGGTTATTTATAAACAATTGGACGGTCAAAAATTTTTAATTATTTTTTTTTAAACTCAGCAAAAATACATTAAAACAATGTTAGTTTTTTGAAAGCTTCTGACAGTTAGTTTTTTCTGTATAACTAAGAAACTGGTACAGAACTACAGAAAGCATATACAATCCATGTTAATTATCCAATTTTTAATTGAATTTATCTCGTGTTATAGACGGTCAATCGACTTCAAATTTTAAGGATATATGTATTGTCATGTCCTTAATAAGTATACAAAAATTCAAAATTTTCTGATGGTATGCTTATAGCACGACAACTACCTTAATCAGCAAAAATTGTTTAAAGAATTATTTAATATAATTGTAGATTATTTTAATATTAAATAGTACCTGCAGTAACTAAAAAAATGGTAAAATTTGTTGGTACGTTATTTTTGTTTGCTTATTATTATATTTTGCTTAATAAAATCGCATTTTTATTTTTAGACAAAGAAAATTATTAATATTTTCCAGTTCTTAAAAAATTATCTCTACGAATTTCAAAATAATTTTTCTAACTAAAAAATTTATTAGTTAGTTTAAATTTAAACCGGCTAATGTGATTTTTCTAAATTTTGATACGTTACCATAGTTTTATGGGAGAAAAAGTCCATATCAAAATTATATACAGTGCTAAACAAAATAGGGGAACACTTCTTTATATCTCTAATCCTTTTTTGCTGTATTAGTTTTTCGGTTTAGTTTCCATACACCCTGTATAACAATATAAAGTCGGTCATCTTTTTATTAATGAAATATGCGTTTGAATTTCAACGATTGATCGTTGCATTTATTAAAAAGGTTACTGTTAAATAATAGAAGTCAACGTCCATCTGAATTGCAAATTGCTAAAGTGAATATATTTCAATTGCTAATTCAGTTGACGATTGATTGTTTATTTTAAAACCGCTGATGTTTGGTGCCTGCCGAGGTGGCCGTTAAACCATTAGAGCATTATTATTGTGTTGTGAATTATTAATACATATTATTAAAACAAACACCGTTTAGTATTTATTATCGCTAATTATGTTAATTGTAGAGATGTTTCGATGATTTATTGCAGCAGTTAAATTTTAATTTGGACATTTTTACAAACACGGCCTCGTATGTTTTTCATTTTATCACATGGATTTTGTAGCGTTGTTTACCAAGTTCAAGGTGTACTTTCATTGTTTTAATTTTGTAAATTAATTGCATGATTGTGGTTTAATAAAGATTGCCGTTGATACAGACCAAGAGCTTTGCGATGATATTTATGATCTACCAACCGTGGTTTCTTTATTAAGATACAGCAAATCTGAAAAACGATAAAAAACGCGCAAGATACTCTTCCTCTTGAGTGGTTGGAAAAAACGTTCTTGTGGGCGTACAAGCGCGGCCCTAATAATTTACCGTAAAATGCACCGTTTGCGAAATTTTTGCTAAAATGTGAAAAAAGTATTTCATAGTATTGTTTTAAGAGATTGGTGAATAAATAACAGTAGACCGATTTCCTATAGATTATTTTAAAAATTCCATTCCAAACTCGAGAAACAAAATAGGATCAAGTTAATAGCTTTAAAATTTATTAGTATATTTTTTATAAAAAACCAAATAAAAAAATGATGTAAACAGTAAAAAATGATGGTAAAATTACGGATAAAAATATGTAATAATATTTACATAAAATATATGGTGTTTCAAATAAACGCATAAATTATTGCGGTTATTGACTGATTTTACCAAATATAGGTATTCTGTAAAAGGTAAATATTTTACTGAATAAAACGTTGGCTATTCTGTGGCCAACGTAATATTCTATAATTTTTTCTTACTGTGCAAACGCATAAATTATTACGGTTATTGATTGATTTTACCGAATATATTCTGTAAAAGGTAAATATTTTACAGAATAAAACGTTTTCTATTTTGTGGCCAACGTAATATTCTGTAATTTTTTCTTACTGTGAAACGCATAAATTATTACGGTTATTGAGTGATTTTACCGAATATATTCTGTAAAAGAATATTACTTTGGGTACTATGTGGCCAACGTAATATTCTGTATTTTTTTTTACTGTGTATGAAAACAAATGTAAGTAAACTGCAAAACAATGTAGAATTATTTGTGTGAAGACATTCTATGGTAACTCTTTAAATGGAGATATCACCTTAATTTGTGTTAAATATTTAAAAAAAAAACTGAACAAGCATCGCTAGTAACGTAACAAAACTACAACTTTTAATAATGAGTTGCCAAAAGCGTATGATACAAACGAGTGTTTTTGAGAATAAAGCCGGAAAATATTAAAAATATCGAAAAAAAACTGTGGAACGATTTGTTGTGTTGTTTGGTGTTTTTCGAGAGGAAATCCTGGGTTGAGTTTTAACCGGTTTCCCAATAAAACGTGGAAATCCGAATAAAAAAATAAATTGCATACAGTCCCTGTAAATATAAATTTACGTATTTCAATTCAGTTAAAATCACAAAACAAATAAGTCGTCTAAATTCAAACTGCGTTATGTATTATTAAAAGCGTTACTTGAGAAAGACTTCACTCAATGGTATTTATAACATAAGTTGCCATAAATTCCTAGATATATTTTGCCTTTTACTTTTTCAAAATGAAGTGGTCGGCGTTTTTAGAGGACTCAAATATAAAAATGTTTGATTTTAAGGTTTGTACATGTTTGTACAACTTTTATTTTTTGTTAGCTTTCTTAAAAATGTCCAAACAAATATAAATTATATTAGGAAAAGTTATCATTAGTTTCTGCACCAACAAATAAATATACATATCGAATTGAATCCTTTGGCAAAACATGTAAATGCAACGCTTTAGTTCTTGAATTACATTTACAATTAAAAATACCATAATTCACTATGATTACTTTGATAAAATACACACTAACTTAACTATACGAGGTGTGTTCAGAAAATAACGGGAATTGTTAAATTTCGCGGGTTCGGAGGGTCCGGTTGTCATAAAATTTTCTTTATTATGTTGGTATACATGCCCCCGAAGTATGATAAAAACTTTAGCTGTTTTCATTGTTTACTTTGTCTGTGACGTGTTTTATGAGCTCGGTGATTTTTCGTTCGTTATAAGAAATGGATCAAAGAGTTTGTATCCAATTTTGCTTAAAAAAATGAAATAAATTCTGTGAAATGTTAACAAAGGCCTATAGTGAGTCTGCTACAAGTAAAACAAGAGTTTACAAGTGGTATAAGAGTTTCCAAGATGGCCGTGAAGACGTTGAAGATGACGAACGCCCCAAACGCACAAGCACATTAACAACCGATAAAAACATGGAAAAAGTGGAAGAAATGGTTATAAATCATTAGAGAAGTCGCTGATGATGTTGGTATATCGATTGGCTCATCCCATGACATTTTTTCTAACGTTTTGGGTATGAAACGCGTGGCAGCAAAATTTGTTCTAAAATTGAAGATTTTGAACAAAATTTTGGGCCAAAAACAATACTGTAATGATGCCCCAGCCTCCATATTCGCCAGACTTGCCTCTGTCTGACTTTTTCCTATTCCCAAAAATAAAGAGAACCTTAAAGGGTCGTCGTTTTGCAAGCATAGATGACATTAAAAGCGTATCGCTGAAAGAACTAAAGGCTATCCCAAAGATCGAGTTTTAGAAGTGTTTCGAGTATTGGAAGAAGAGCTGGCACATGTGCATAATATCCAATGGGGACTATTTTGAAGGCGACAACATATTTGTTTCAAAAAACGAAAATTTCCGATATTTTCTAAACACACCTCGTATAAGCGTTGAGTTTCTTAATCAATGATTTAAGGAATAATCAATCGAAATCGAGTACTAAACCAAAGTTTTGCAGTTTTTATTTGCAACGCGATACACAAATAACGCAATTTATCTGTGCAATTTAAACTTTGCAAAATTTGTCCTCTCTTTTGTAAAAAAATTAGTTATTTAAAAAAAAATGATGTGCAGTTCGTATACTTATACGTAAATGTAATGTTGATAAACCCTGTAGTTTAATAATACTTTCGAGCACCACCAGATAGCGCGCGCGTTGCAAAACCTGATATGCTTTAGCGTATGTCATTTTTGACATAAATTTTTGCTTTTTTTAACCTTAAATTATTGTTATAACGTAAATTTTTGCAAACATTCAAGGAGCTTTATTTTAATTCCCAATGCGAATTGGGCAAATGGGTAGATACAATTTTGTACTCAAAATGGCCACTCTATTACTTTATTAAGTATTTTAAACCATTCTACACTTTTTCATATATTGTAACATTTTATCAGTAAAAGGTCGTTTATAATCATAATAATTCTATAATATAAATTTCTTGGATTTATTTTTCCTTTTGTTTTTAGATGTGCCAGCTTCGGAACAAGAGGAGCTGTTTATACGTAAATTAAGACAATGTTGTGTGCCATTCGACTTCATGGACCCAGTGGCGGACCTGAAGGGTAAAGAAGTGAAACGTTGCTCGTTAAACGAGCTGGTCGACTATATTACGGGCGGTCGAGGGGTGCTAACCGAACCGGTCTACCCAGAAATTATCAAAATGGTAAGATAAAATAAGAAATATTTTAACTGCTCTAAAAAGGTTATAGGTACAAATTAAAACAAAATTGAGCAAGATACAGCACTTTTTAATAAGTCCACCAGAGAGCAAGGCTACCCTTATTTGTTTTAAAATTTAGGTGATAGGTTATACATTATTTTTTGAAAATATTTACCATTTCGTAATATTTTACCTAAATAAATAAAAGTACCATAAGTTATGGTCCATAACTTACATTTGGAAATTTGTCAGTGTAAAAAATAACATATCTTATACTTATTTCTAAAACTAAATCGAAAAAACAAAATAATTGAATACCAATGGAGATCAAAACGACAAAAATAACTTCCCAAAATCATTTAGACTGAAAGAAAGAAAAGAGAATTGAGAAGAGCAAGAAACTTCATTTTGAAATCCTAATCTTATTGATAAGACTGGAAAGCTCATCAGAGACACGCCATATTTTTATTCCATTTGCGGAATGAATGGGCCACAGAACCATTAATTTATCAGGCTTGTCAAAAGCAACAGCGGCTTTTTTCTTAAAAAAATATTAAACTCCATTTGCCAGAATGTTTTTAATAAATGATAAAAATATACAGCAGATATTACGACTTTCTTGCTTGGGAATCAAACTCGAATTTTACAAAATACTGGGTGGCGCAAAATGAACGTAGGGGTTTGAATTTCCTATAAGTTTTTTATTTTATTTAAGTTTTTAAATTTTATTTCAGTATTTTGTAAAGAACACTTGGGAAATTTAAAATGGAACAGTACACAATCGAACAACGAGCCCAAATCATTGAACTTTATTTTTCAAATCAACGGTCCATTGTTTTGACTCAGCGTGCTTATCGTCGATATTTTAATGTGCGAAATGGACCCTCAGAGCCAACAATAAACCGTATAGTTGCAAATTTTCGACAACAAGGGACATTAAGGAACCTTCCTGGTGCCGGAAGACGACGTACGGTGCACACGGATGATAATATTGAACGTGTACGGGAGAGTATTGAGGAAAATGCAGAAACATCAACAAGGAGACGTTCGACACAACTTGGGCTATCACGAAGGTCACTGCAGAGAATTTTGAGTACATTAAGCATGTTCCCATATAAAATACAGCTTGTGCAAGAATTAAAGCCGACAGACTACCAGCAACGGCTTAATTATGCAATTTATTTCCGCCAAAAAGCAGAAGAAAACCCTGATTTTATTCATAATTTAATAATGAGCGATGAAGCCCATTTCCAATTAAATGGGTTCGTTAACAAGCAAAACTGCAGAATATGGGCTACGGAAAATCCGAGAACAGTTCATCAGCGACAATTACACCCACTTAAGTGCACTGTTTGGTGCGGTATATCATCCGAAAGGATTATTGGCCCATATTTTTTTGAAAACGAAGACGGTGTCGCAGTTTCCATCAATGGTGGTCAATATCGGACGATGTTGGAAAATTTTTTGAGGCCAGCTGTGGAAAACCATCCACAATTATGGTTCCAACAGGATGGAGCCACAGCGCATACTGCGAGGGCACAATGGCTCTTTTACGGGACATCTTTGGCGAACGCATTATTTCGCGCAGAAGCGATTTCAATTGGCCTCCGCGTTCACCGGATTTAACGGCTCCTGGCTGTTTTCTTTGGGGATATTTGAAACAAAGAGTGTACGTTAATAAGCCTAGAACCATCCCGCAATTAAAAAAAAATATTCGGCATGAAATCGAGGCCATAACACCTGAAATTTTGCGAAAGGTTATGGAAAATGTTTTGGAAAGAGCACGAATATGCGAAGCAGAAAATGGTCACCACTTGCGCGATATAATTTTCCATAATTAAACCAAAAATATTCCCCATTATTATACTGCATTTAAAAAAAATATTTATAATAATTATTGTTTAAATAAAAAAGTTATAAACAATTCAAACCACAACGTTCATTTTGCGCCACCCTGTAAAAGTTTGATTCAGAGTTCGCACTTTGTACATTTTGACACCTAAAGGATGTTAAATGTGTTTTTAAATATATTTTTTAGTTTTTTTGAAATTGAATTATGGTTAAAGTTGTTTTCACTGCAGAATTAAAATTAAAATAAATTAGTCTAAAATTACCAATTGTAAGTCTTTTTTACCAATTTTCATGGCGGAAAAGTAATTAGTTAAATTCTACCAATTCAAATAGTAAAAGTTTCACTAATCAAATAAAAAAACGTATGACGTTACTGAGAATTAAACCCGGGTCTCTCGGTTGTCAAGCGGATGCAAATCAATCAAATTTATTTTTACATTAATACAGTGAATAAAAAGAAACATTGCACGTAGAGCCGCAATGTGGTTGTAAAAAGGCTCGTGAATATATAGTCCCGCCTCTAAAGCCTGCTCTTAACCACGACCACTGCTTTTAATGATATTTCTAAGGTTTGTGAAATTTTAAAGTTGAAAATCTTTTTTGTATTGCTCTTTTAAGCTTTTTTGCATTTTGTTTTTATGTCGAGTCATTTAACGCTTTGTTGTTGGCCTATGGGGCGCCGTTTTATTTTTTTATTCTTAAATTATTTTTATGTCTTAACACTAGACTGATATTTTCAATTAGATAAAAAATATCACATAAGAATTTTTATTCTGCGAATTAATAATATCATGGCAGATATTTTAAAATTAGATTTAATTTTTATGCCAAACTGACATTTTTAATTTAGTGAATTTAAAATATCTTATATTTGTATTTTTAATTTGCTTGATTAAAAATTAGATTTAATTTTTATGCCAAACTAATAATTTTTTATTTAGTTAATTTAAAATATTTGCTTCTTATTTTTGTATTTTTTTGCTAAACACATATTTTTAATTTGCCTAATTAAAAATATCATGGGAGATATTTTTAATTCGATTTAATTTTTATTTTATTGAATAAGGAGATATTTTTAATTGAATGTGATATTTTTAATTCCGACTGACGGAGAGTTTTGATACCACAAACGCCACAAAAACCGACCCACTCCAACAACAAACTAACGTGCCTTGTGATTGTGCCGCCATCTAGCGACAGAATTAGTTTGGAATACCAGGGGTGTCCAAACTTTCAATCTGAATTAAAAATATTACATTCAATTATATAAAAAAATTAAAATTAAAAATATCTTCTGATATTTTTAATGCATTTAAAAATTTCTCCCATGATATTTTTAATCTAGCGAATTAAAAATATGTGTTTAAGTAACTAAAAAATATAAATATAGAAAACAGATATTTTAAATTCACTAAATAAAAAATATCAGTTTGGAAAAAAAAATTAAATTAAATTTTTAAATATTTACTTTGATATTTTTAATTCGCAGAATAAAAATTCTTATATGATATTTTTATCTAATTGAAAATATCACTTAAGTCTTAACTTAACACATAAGAATAATTTCTAAACAAAAAAACAACCAAAGAAATTAGTTACTTTTTACTCTCAAAAAAAGTTGGTGACTACTTAAGATTAATCAAACTTAAACTATTTAAATTGTAAAAATTAACAATTTAAAAATAGATTTTAAATGACTATTTTGTTACTAAACCATGCCATTATTAATTAAAATAGTGAAATTCTGTAATTAATTTTAAGAGAGTGCAGTTTTTAATGTTTTTTCGAATTTTTAAATTAATTTTTCGTAATCAACCGTAGTTTGATGCACTCCTGTACCATAATCTTTAACTTTAATCGGTCTATAATTTAAACTTTATTGTTGTCAACACTAATTACATAGATATACAGGATTTAGACCAATCGGGTTAGTATATTTATGGCCTAGGCAGTAAAATTCATTATTTATTATATTAGACCAGTCGACCCCTTCGAAATCGATTTAACCTCACTTTCTACTTTTAATGATGGGATTGGAGTTTGTTACACTGAAAAAAAAATATTCTTGTATCAAATAAATTTATTTGATTCAAAACAATCTGTGTCTCATATATAACGAAGAGAATATATTCTTTAAAATAGAAAAGTATTTTCTTAATTCACGTTGATTTACTTTAAGAATATTTTCTTAATGTAAGAAAATTAAGTTTCTTTAAATAAAACTTTGATTGTTTAAAAGCAAGAATATATATTTTTTACAAAAACAAAGAAACACTGCATAATTAGGCATAAAATTTAAGAGGAACGTGTCGGCATCCCCACTTCTACGCAGTTTTAAGAATATGTATTCTTGGCAAAAGAAAATACTGTTTATAAAAACAAATAAACAAATTTAAGAATATCTATTTCTTAATATAAAAAAATTAAAAATATCGTATTCTTGATATAAAAATATTAACAATTGTACCAAGAAACCAACTTAGATTTCCTTCAAGAATATTTAATATTTGAATTAAAACATGCAACTTTTTAAAACAAGAACCTGTTTCTTAATACTAGAATATTTTCAAAAATACAAAATTCTTTTTTAAAGAAGTTAAATATTTTTAATTGAAATATATATTCTTATTTTAAAGCAAGTTGACTTGAATTAAAAAAATATTTTCAAGATGATTGGTATTCTAAATGTAAGAAATCTTTTTTTTCAGTGTAATAAAATTTTCCTTCTACGTTTCTCAAACTATTTTTGACAGCGTTTTGAAACGCTTCGATGACCTTGAAAAGAACGCATGACGTCACGATATTATAACAGGCGTGTCAAGATTTACGAATGAATCCGGCATCTGTTTCTAGCACGGTTATGTAAGACCGTGGTTTTTAGGTTATGTTCATTATTTTTAAAATAATATAAATCGCTTGAAAATGGTTTTATAACAAGTAAAAAGATTTTAACAATCAAATAATTTTTATTCTTACATATACTTTATTCGTAAATCATGACATGCCTATATACATACCAATATACATACGAATATACCATTTATATTTTTCAACAATTGTATATGGTGACTAATGTCTATAATTAAAGTGGTCGACATCATGTCTTAACCCCCTTTTAACGTTTAATGTGCCGTTTAACAAATAAAATTGTG